GAATTTGATATTGTTGTCCCATTTAATAGATGAGAAAATTCAGGCTCTTTGGGGCCAAATATCCAGCCCAAAGACACAAAGCAAATACATTATAAGGCTAGTATTTAAACTAATGCCATGGGACAGCTCTAGAAGGTTATGCTCAAGTGTTTTAAACCATGCAGCAGGACTGCAGAATGTGGCTAACACCGACAGATGGGAGAACTCTTCCAAACAAAAGTGGTCAAGGCCCTCAGGAAGGATGTCCGATAGTTTTGCCACCAGTAGATCATTATTTCGATATATAGGGGCACTTAGACTTTTAAAGGCTTCTACCAGGCTAACACCAGACAAAGAGAAATCAATAAGAGAGAGTGCAACTGAAGCATATGATTTGTCTACAACCCAAGTCACTCGTTGATCTGAGATGGAACTCACCTCGTCTCTCCCTATTGATCAGTCTCCTGCCCTTCTGTCTGCAGTGAGGATGAGATAGAATGGTTTCAACTCTTGCTTTTTGTAATATGTTGATTAAAACGTTGGGGAGAAAATGAGAACCCTCCTAGAATTAAGATACATTTAACACATCACTTCTTCACCATTTCTTGGAATTTCTACTTTTGGACAAAGAATGAATTACTCTGACAGGGGCTCTTCTTCTTTTACTGTTGTCTGTTCTCTCAAAGTGTTTATAAATTAATTTGCTGATGATGTTTTCTTAATGTACTGTCCCTGGGCTGTGTACCAAATGAAATCACTTGTACAATAATAGAATTTTAGTTGTCTGGAGGCAGAAGCAGAACAAGGAAGAGTTTTTGAGCAATTGTTTGTAATCAAATTTTAAACATTTACAGAAATATGTATACATTTCATGGCCAGAACTCTGATGGCGGGGGGTGGTCATTCCGATCTGTGATTTTTAATTTGTTGCTTATTGAAGTTTTATACTATGAAATATACCAAGCGTAGCAAAGATGTTTTGTGTGCCCAGAGGTCATAGCATTGAAAACAATTTTAGTATTCAAGCCAGCATTAGCTATTTCACCTTCAGAGATAAACTTAGTCTCAACCTAATTCAGTTTTATAATTTATATGCTGTTCTCAGAGCTCAACACAGAACATAAAGACATAAAATCACTTTACTCTTTTTATCTATCTCATTAGCTTTATCTAAATAACTGGCTAGATGGAGTTTAGCTTTTTAGTTGCAGGAGAATGATAAACATTTACACATGTTTAAGAGATCATAATAAACTAACTTTTTTGGATATTCATATTAACATTAATTATTCAGATGATTATCTTGATGCTTCAAAAACCATTTATATTTTTTCACCTAAAATGTATGATTAATGGCAATAAGCCAGAAACATTTTCTAGGAGCACTTATAGAACCTATTATATTTTTTCAGCTTATCCATTTGATATATCTTCTTGCAGTCCCTTAACTGTCTAAGGATAATCCAGTGTCTCCATAAGGCAGGGTGGTGGAAAAGAATCTTCAGGTCAGAGCTAGGAGGCTAGGTTGACTTTGCTTCCATATGATAGATCTGTGCCTATTGGCACTAAGAAGAGGTGTAATTTGGTTGAGTGCTTACTATATGCTAGGCACAGTGCCAGTCACTTTCCATGAATTATTTCTGTGATCTTATGAGCCAGTGTATTTCTATTCCCATTTTACAAATGCCATTTGCAGAGAGTTTATGTAATTTGTTCAAGGTCACAATACAAAGAAGTGGCAGAGCTGGAATTCAAACTTGCTTTCACCTATTTCAAAACCCAGACTATAAACCACTGGACTCCTCGGCACCACAGTTTCCTCATCTGTACAACAAGGATCCTTGAATCAGATGACCAATAAATAATTTCCAGCTCTGAATTTTTTGAGATCTAATCTAGCAGGAGAACAGATGTAGGAACTCATGTTTGCTATATCTTTTAGCCTACAAGTCTAAAACCATCCTTCAAAATCTGATGCCCAAAACATTGCAAATAGCTAAACAGCTGGCAAGGAGGTAATTGCCAAACTGGTACCAGCTGTGAAAGCTATTCAGCATTTCCACAGCCTATGTGGGTGTTGTTTTAAGTAAGTGCAATAAACTAAGTGGCTAAGTGCATTGCTCACAGAAGAGTGAAGTCTCAAATGGAGATCTCCTGAGAATTTACTTGTATTTTCAGGGACCAGTGTATTCTGTATCATAGGTTATTGCTTAAATATAGCCAGACAGAATCTTTATAAACCTTGGGGTCATTTAATATATACTTTTAATTTGTTTATTTATTTTGTCTTGCTCTGTTAAACCAAAATATCTTCCCTGGAGGTTCACTTGGGAGCCAGAAAAATAAGTCTATTTGACATTTGGTTCTCCAAACTACAACCTGCCCTCCCTTGTATCATTCATTAAAAGCTTTTTAATTGGTCATAAATGCCGTAGACATTACATTACGCAGGAAGATAAAATGAGCAGACATTTAAAAAAGATATATATGAAAATAATGTTTGCTTATGGTAAAGTTACTCTTCTCATTTCCAAGTCTTTCCTCACTCTTCCCTTCACTGCAGTAATTCACTGGACGTTGTTTTTTTTTTTTTTTTTTTTTTTTTTTAATGGCGACTTGTCCAGCTATAATGCTAGTAACAGCCATTGATGCTTCTTAATGTGGACCCAGGGATTCCCGTTGAAAAGTGACTTCATTCTTCACTGTTTAGTTAAGATGCAGTCTGGATTTGTTCATGATGCTAAAGCATCTAAGTTGATGTAGGGAAGCGATGGCAACAACAAAAATCAATCAAGCCAAATGCTTGCCACTCTGATGTTAAGTCAATTGGTTGATTGATTCATTTCAACTTGCTTTTGTGGCACTAATTTATTTATTTATTTTTTTGGTGGTGCTAGGGATTGAACCCAGGACCTTGTGCATGCAAGGCAAGCACTCTACCTACCGAGCCATATCTCCAGCCCCTTTTGTGGCACTACTATGACACATACTTAAGGATGTAACATGAAGGCTCTTAAAATGTGGGTCTCAGACCAATACCACTATCATCACCTGGAAATTTGTAAGAAATGCAAATTCTCCACTTCAGACTGACTGAAACTCTGGGGATGAAACCCAGCAATTTGTTTTAAGGAGCCCCTACAGATGATTCTGATGCTAGCTGATATTTGTGAACCACTATTAGTTATTAGTTACACAGTTTTTAAAAAAGCATGAATAATTATCACAAGGGATAAACCAAACCATTGTCATCTAATTATTTGATTAAATCCCTTAAAAACACACCTAAAAATGTAGTTTGCTAAAAAACACCTCCTTAGAAAACTGTTCAGGAATGTTTTCTTTCTTTTCTGTCCAATTTTATTCTTTTTTCCCTAAACTTTTGAGAGCAGTGAAAAATCTATGTAAACTAAAATTTGCTTGTTAATTTCAGGGACTGTGTACATAAAATAGCAACTATTATCATTGTTTCAATTGTGAATTATCATTACATAGTGATCTCTTTTTAGTGAAGATATAGAAGTAGTTTAAAATTCTGGATTCCCTTAACAAAACATACCAACTCTAACCTAAGGTTCTCTTGGGTTTATAATCCACAGTGATGCCAGTGAATTTTGGAATGCTTTAGGTGTGATTTTGTAGTTTTCCCTACTGGCTCAGGAAAACCATGCAGTTACAAGAAGTTGCAGGAAGCTTTATGTGGATGCCTCCAAGTTGGAGGAAAAACTAGAAAAGGCATGTTATTGAAGAGTATATTATTAATACTTAGGCTTCAAAAAATTTAAAAGATCTAGAGGAAAAATATCAAATGTCTTACCAGAAATTTATTTAATCAACACATTAATACTACACGGAGGTATGGATAAAAAGTGAGATAAATTATCTTTAAATAGGAGCTTTTTTTTTTTTTTTTTTTTTTTTTGTGGTCTGGTCGAGTGAGTACTGAACTGGACTGAGTTTGCATTCATTCATTGCTTTGAATAGGAAGCTCCTTGTCTTTTTCTGGTTTCTCTTGCTTCCTTTCTGTGGCATCAGTGCCACCTAGAGGACATTGTAGGAACTTTCTTTGAACAAACCCTTTCATTTCTGAAACTGTTTCATAACTCTGGAACTCTATACCTCCCTAAATAAGGCAGAATCCTCAATCTCTATAAATAGTAAATTAAAGGAGAAAACTAAGTTTTTCACTTTAGCTATCATATCAAGGTCAGTGTTGCTAGTCATAGCATTACTTAAATCTCTCAATTACTTGGGATTGACATACATTAAGCCATGTGTTAGGACCATGATATACCATAACTATAATCTAGGGCTTTTTTTTTTTTTTTTAACTTTCAACACACAGTTATTTCTTTAAACTGTAACATGGTCACTGACTATTTTATGCCAATTTGCTTAAACAGCAACATGAAATGCCCTCTGTGGTTTAGGCAGTTTAAAAGAATGTTGAAAAACATTAGTTCCTCCCATTGTATTTTGTTGATAAGTTTCAACTTTGGGTGTGTTTTGATGTTCAAAAGCATGAGGTTGCAAGGCATGGTGGTGCACACCTGTAATCCCAGAGACTGAGGTAGGAGGATTGTGAGTTCAAAGCCAGACAATTTGGTGAGGCCCTAAGAAACTCAGTGAGACCCTGTCTCTAATAAAATATTAAAAAGGGATGGGGATGTGGCTCAGTGGTTTAGTGCCCCTGGGTTCAATCCCTGGTAACAAACAAAACAAAACAAAACAAAATTATGAGGTTAAATAAGTATTGGTATTTGATTTCTGAGAGGTTGAAAAAGGAAATAAACATTGATTTCCAACCTAGACCATCTCTTTGGTTCTAAAGGTTGGCCTTTTCCTCCCTACAGGCTTTTCAACCACATGGCAAGTGGCCACTGACTGGATGTCTATGTGATTTTAGTGAGGAGAGGACAACAATTTCTGGGGTCACCAATTTCTTTTTATAAGTAGAATCTATATGATGAAATATTCTTTGCCATGGTAACATCTGACTTTTCTCCAATTATTTTGTTTAGCTTATCCAACAAAAGTATTAACATATTCATTAACAACGTCGAAAGTAGCCTACTTTAAGAGAAAATATGCAGAAGAAGAAGATTTACATCAAGATTACCATGGGTATTTTCCAAAAGTAAGTATTTATTATTCTTTTTTCTTTTGTCATTGTTTTGAATGTTGTCCATACCAAAAAGCTTGACTTGTCATTTTTCTACATCTAGATTAAATGATTGACTTTGTTTTCCAGCACCTGATATTACCTGAGGACAGGACTTGCATTCTCAAACTTTCTCTGGAGAAGCTCAGGTTTCTAGAAGACCCAGAAACCTACTTAAGAAGGTCTGTGTTAATTAACAATTTGCTGAGGAAGATACATCTAGAGACGGAGAAAGAGAGCTATGAATACTTTAAAGAAGCTCCCTGTTATAAGACTGCTTATTCAGATACAAGAAAACGGCTGAAGTTTATGGTACAGGAATGCTGTTCTCAGTCTCTCTATTATGAAGAGCTGCATTCATATCATATTGTGCCTTATGCTTCGGAGAATGCCATTTTTGGAATGGGATACACTAGCAGCCACTTGGAGCAAAATTCTCAGTTGCTTATTTATAAAATGAATTAAAGTAACTGTTAAGTTCATTGATACTTTGTTTCTAAATGCCTGAACTGTTTATAGTGAAGATGTTAATATAAGGCACTAATTACCAGTGCATTTGATGAAATGCATGCTGAACTGATTGGAGAGACCCATGGTTATTACTCAGCAGTCCTTAGTATCATCAAATTGAATTGAAAATATGTCCACTTATAAAGCATTGAATTAGTGCATTAGAAGCAAAGATTTTTTTTTTTTTTAACATACGGTGTGTAGAAAGGGATTTATATCAACCTGTTATATAGATTAAAACTTTTAAGCCCCCTGGTTCTAAAGTCTGCCACTCTTTATAACAAGTAACAAAAAGTAACAGATTCCATTGATAATGTTATGTCTCTGAGGATGAGAAGAGGGAGTTCTTTCTGAAATGCTTTGTACCATCAGTGGCGATTCAAGTTGGGGCAAGCATTCCCTGCCACCTAACTGCTGAAAATAACAACTGGATTACTCCAAACTGATCCTTTTTATTATTATTATTATAATTATTATATATTTTTTTTGGTTTCTTGATAGACTTTTTTCTTTAAAAGTAAAATTTAATAAAAAAGCATTGCCGGTGGGATTATCTTTAGGGGTTGGTTCAAATTTGTGCTGGGCCTTCAAGAGTTAAAATTTTTATTCATGATGCTATTTTCTTTTTTATAGGCTGTGAAGCTCAGGAAAAGGGTAGGCAGGTAAAATGTGTTTTTTTCATGGGTTGATATTTGCAGCAATTGGTGAGAACAACAGAAATTCTACATGATGTTATTTCTTCATCGAGCTAAGAGTGCATTTAAGGCTGCCAGGATCAAACTTTGCACTGTTTTTTGTATAATAGTCGATCATTCACTATTTGACAAAATGTTTCAGAATGCCTTTGGTGGTGAAGTTTAGATATTTTACAATTTGAAAAATCATTATTTAACAAGTTGGATAGAGTCATGAAATTGTTTGAATTGATTCATACTATTCTGTGAGGTTTGGGTGAGATGTCTGATTTCCATATCTGGGGTTTTTGTCCTACAGAGCATATTGTTTCAAGAATTGTCATTAAGTGATTAAGCAGATTGGAAAAACTAGGTGCCAAAGGTGTATTTAAGAAAATACCAAAGACTCAAAGATGAGTGTCAGGAAGACTATGATAACCAAGATAAGAATCTAAGGATTGTGCAGGAGATAGAGGGACACTGTGAAAGTGTTTCAGGATGATTTGCTCACTAATGTGCTCTCAGAGCACCTTTTACATAATAATGATAATCAAGGACATTGCTTTAAGTGAAGGTATTACAAGCTTTTGGTAATCATATGCCTTTGCAATTTAAATATGGTGTCTTGTCAACATAGAATCTTCCTTAGCTGAAGATCAACTAGTAACCCAGACAGGCTTTTTCTATTCAAGACAATTTTGTTTTTAGTTTTGATTCAATACTTGGTTTCTCTAGTGAATCACCAAGATGATTAACGTGGATGCTTCTGATGTATAGAATATGGGTGCCCTTAATTAGCCTGCATTGTCGAAGACCACATAGTCATAACACTGATACAAGTGTCAGCCTTACATTTAGTTGCTCAATCAAATTAGGAAAAATGCTTTAGAAGAAAGTAGAAAATTATAATCCCCGTGGTCAGTTTTAAAATCAATTTAGTATGATGATGAGATAGCTTTAAAATACACAAATAAATACTTAAAAGTTAAGGACAAAATTTGGCACCAAAGTTTAAATTTTTTATTTTATTGCTTATAAATGAACTTATTTCTCAGATACTTCTTTTAAAAACATATATATTTTTTAAATGGGGCAATTCCAAGATTCCAAATTTGATAATTATATTATAATATAGTTTTTAAAATAGATTCACCTTTCTAATACTTTCAAAACTTTAAACACTTGGCTTGGTTTAGGACAGTGTCTCTAAGAAAAAGACACCAACGCTAGTAGATGTAGTGCATAAACAAAAGCCACATATTGAAATTAGCTGAGAATAGAAATACACTTTAAAACAGAGAAGAGGAGAGAAAAATTATCAGGAAAGTGTGAAATTATAATATTTGTTGTATGCCAGAAAATTTAAACAAAGCAAGAACTCTTGGGCAAAAAACCAGTAACAGATGTGAAAGTCTTTTTATTGGATGACATCATCAATTGAGCTCTCTAATCTGTATTCCTATGTAGAAAAGGAACTGTCTTAGAAACCAGCAGTATTTGTGAATATGATTTTTTTAATTGTGTTGATTTCAAAACAGTTTATTTAAAAATACTTTTGGGGGCATTTAAAATTTTTTTTCTAACAACTCATAGATAAGGAGTTGACTAATTTTATCTTGATTTTAAAAATAGTAATTTATATTTAAACTCTGTAAACTTGTCTGAATTAACCAATAGATCACTGTCATTTTACCATGACCAGCTGATAGATAGGGAGACCCCTCTATAGGTTTGCTCCATTAATGAGAGATGCACAAAGTAGGAAATTATTACTTTTACTTTAAACCTGGGCATCCTCTCTCTGATAACAAGAATCAGCCTTAGGCTCAGGAAGCTGAGGTGGGGGAATCTAAGTGTGGGTGCCCAAGTACCCCCAAAGACCTAGTAAGAAGAAAATGAAAAAAGAAAAATGGAGAGAGAGTGAGAGAGAGAGAGAGAGAGAGAGAGAGAGAGAGAGAGAGATCAGATTAATAAGTGAAAGAGGAGGTTTAGTGTGTGTGTGTGTGTGTGTGTGTGTGTGTGTGTGTGTGTGTGTTTATGAGGGGGGTTATTTGCTTGCTATGTTCAGTTTTTCTTTCCTGTGTCCACTGTATACCCCAAACACCCGCTACCTGCAATGCATTGATCATTCAATTACCAATAATGCAGAAGCCGAGGTTCTGTTCAGCATAGGTACTATATGAAGTGTAGTATTATTGCAAAATGCTCCTGAAATTGCATTGGATGGATAAGCAAAGGAAAGCAGAAATAATTAATTCAGGAGAAAGACTAAATGGGGAGCCATATGTAAAAATGGATAAGCTCAAATGCATTGCCTGTTCTGAATGTACATCCCAAGATTTAACAAATTCAGTGCAAGAAGACTTGAAAATAAATGCAATTCACAACCATTTATTGAGCAAACTATTCTGAGCCAAGCACCATGCCAGGGCTGGGGACCCAGAAGTGAGCGATATCCAGTCTCTTAGCTCAGTTCACTGATGAGGGAAGAATCCAGATGATTTGATTTTTGCCTTATAGGGTAAGAACTTTCTACTGGGAGCAGCACCTAGGTTTCTTTTCCAATCTGGGATGGTTTTCAAACATGTATCTCCCAAGGTGTTGGCAGATGAAAAGATGCACAGGAAGAAGGGAAGTTCTACTGATCCAGATTAAGGAGTGGAAGGAGTATATAGATTTTCTTTGCAGTATATTTTATACTTGGAAGCATATTAGGAAGCCACTCTTGCATAGGGGGAGTATGGCTGGCTGTAGCTCACCCCTGGGAATCCCTGTGAGGATGGAAGGGAGACACATGCAAACATGGAACAATTCCATCTCCCTTCACCTCTCGAGCTCTCATGGTCAGTGCCAATCAGGTTGCTGTTGATGTCAAGGAAAGCCTTAAGTGAAAAACAGAATCATTAAGTCATAGCCTGAGAGTTGTGTATGGTGTGTGTAAAGTCAGAGAGGCAGCCTTCTCTAATGGGCCTCATGCTGGTGAACTGCTTGAATGAACCTCAGGATTTTTTAACACCAGCTACTGGAGCCATCTCCTTTCTGTACCGCTCTAGCTTCCTCTGTGAATTACAGCCTAATCCTCAGTCTTTGCAGTACCCTCCTAGTGAAGGTTAAAGTTCTGTCCTTCATCGCCTCCTGGCCCTCTAGCGATGATACTGATTTGCTCAGAGATTCTTGTAGAAAAGCAACACTTTGTGCTCCTGACTAGATCCTTTGGGAAAGGATTCCCAGAATGTTTTAAACTAGAATTAATTACATAAGCATAATGGTTATTGGATGGACACTTCTTTTAAAAATAACTGTAAACTTTAAATAATCATCTACTAAGGTAATCCTCATAATTCTACAATTCAGTGTAATTGTTGTATGTTTTACTAAAGAAAATATCTTATGTTGGAAATAATGAAAGATTGTATATAATCAATTCAAGTAGTTGAGTATTTATGTAATATATGTCATTTAATTTACATGTTCTTATTCTCAAACTTTATCACGACACAATAGCAACATGAAAAGTGTCAAATTTTTTGTTTCTTTTAAAGGGGAGTGTGTCTAAAAGTTATTACATTCCTGGTTAAATATTTGGGACAAAATTTCCCTATTAAAGCAATTCTGTCTTTCCTCAACAATTCCCCTGTAGTTCAGTGAATTAAAAACATCCTCTACATTAGTGCTTCTCAAATCCTCCTAAGCACCAGGGATCTTGTTGCAATACAGATTCCTTTTACTAGGTCTGCAACAGGGCCTGAGAGTCTTTACTCTGCACATTTTCCGGGTGATGCAGATGCTGCTATTGACCCCACATTAAGTAGCAAATCTCTAGATCATTTGAGGTAAATATATATGCAAGCCTATATACTCAGACTTTCAAAGAATATATATTCGTGTCCATTTTCCATAATAAATTTTTCTTTGAAAAAATAAAAGGCAAAAATAGTAAATAACATAAAGCCAAAAGACTGGTTTTCTAAATTTGCCACAAATATTACAGCACTGTAAAATATGTAGAAAATTATTTCTGGCATGAGTTTTATCTACACTTATTGAAGAAGAACATGGATTCAATGCAATCAGGAAATGACACTTGGTAAAATTTCTCTTCCTGATCTTCCCCTTGATTTTACTCAGATAAGGGAGATCCACTTGTCAACATTAAAGCAAAGAATGACAATCTCTTACTTGACCAAATACAAGAAAATCTTACAAAAACATTCATTATGAAATTCAAAAGCTTGGGTGGCTCCACGGACTGAAGATTGTAAACCTGAGGTAAAAAATGGCGCCCAGTTCATTCACTTCTTGTCTTGAACTCTTTCTCAAGCTTTGTGCTCTGCAAGATCCTGCCCTTGCTATGGACTTCCTGTTTCTCCTTGGTTATTGGGGTCTTGGTAAAGGGTGGAGGATCAGTGTAAAAGAGAGTCACATAAATTGTCTATCTGAGCATGCCAAGTGATTTTTGTCTGACTCTCTTTTGGTCATAAATTTTTGGTATGGCTATTGTGAAATATAGTGTCATAAATTTGTCATAAACCATTAATGAAAGAAGAGGAGCAGAAATTTAGTTCTGTGGGAATGTACTCAAATATGAAGCAGATGGTGTTCTACAACATTTATTTCGGAAAATGTGTATCTGTTACATAATCTAAAATATGTCTTTTTCACATTTAAAAATATTTGGGTCATGATTTAGAATTTTTATTGGATTGTTTTTTAAACTGAGAGGAAGAAGAAAGGTAACTGTATTTTAAAACATATTTGACATGTTACTAATAAAATTTTATTTCTGGTGAAATACAGGTGCCTTTGTTCAATGGGGGAGGTGGGATCCTGAACACTTGGCAGCTGTTCTGTCTCTTCATTCCACAGGTCTCCTTTTAAAGGCATACACTTATATTTCTTTTAGCACTTTGTTTTCAATACAAAGTTTGTTAAGGGGTTGGAAGACATTCTTGGCTTCTTGGAACATTTTCTTCACTGAAGCTGACCCTGAAATGGTTGTCAGGTAGCATGAGATACCAAAAGCACAACAGGACTCACTCTGCTTAGGACTTATTCAAACATTATTAACTATAAATCTCAGGCAAAAGGATACTTTCTCTCCCTGTGGAAGCCAGCAGGTGTGCACATGGCTTCTCCTGGGATTCACCAGGTGATGTGGGCAGGTAAGATGCACCAGAAAGATACATTTCTTCTCTCTCTAGCAGAAGCTGATGTTAGCAGATTTGCAAACCACTAACTGTGGAGTTGCCTACAAACCACAGACCCTGAGGGACACCAATGCCTAATGTAAGGTGTTTCCAAGAAAACAGCATTTTTCTGTATACTTTCAACCAGATAACTTGATTAAGTGGGTGGTTATTGGAGCGACCCAAGAACAATGGACCCATACATATGAAGAAACTTTCATGTGTATGTAAGTAGAAACATAAACACATATGGAAGAATACTTTTAAAGATGGTAACATAAAGAGTGAATTGATCTATTCCAGAAGTAAATGAAAAAGCTTAGCTAGCATGTGTGTCCCTCAAACAGCACCTGATGTGTATTTGGTATCAATATGTGATAATGTCCAAGAACTCTTAGTTTTTTTCATTTGTGTTGAAGACTTTTGGGACACACACACACACACACACGCACACACACAGACAAAACCACAAGTTGCAGATGGATGGGCTTCTTTATAACTGGGAGTAAAGACAACTAAGTTTTAACCTCCAAACAGAGCTCCACCACAAGAAAGGGTTTCTCATCTCACTGCTGTTCTATTTCTCCCACACTTCTTTCCCACCTCACTCTAACAGGTGCCTGGATCATGCCTCTGTTTCAGACCTGGCTACTGTCACTGAAATTGATTAATAGTCAGGGCAAGCTCCGTTGCACACAGCTCTATAAAGCCTCGGTTGAATAAACACAGTCATTTCTTCATAATGTGGTAGTTTTCTTATAATTCTTCCATGTTTCCAACTCCCAACAGTCATTTATCTGGAAGTTATTTTTTACTGTTGCACCATGGATTTTATAATTAGGAATGTTTGTAGACAGGACTGTGTAGATGCAAGTTATATGAAATTAACATTATTCCCTTCATAATAAACAGAGGCATATAAAACTCTATTAGTTTATGCACATAAGCAGAATACAGTACCATTATTATTGTCATAATATTTCTATACAGTACAACAATTATTGTTATACCATTTCTATAATTTATGAAGAAGCCAACTATAGACAATTTGTTGTCTATTTACTGTTTCATCAGTTTGTGATACAAAATGGGTCACAACTCTTTAATTATCAAATTAAAACTACTTCTTCCTCACTTGACCCCTTGGCAGGAAGTCTCATCTTTTTCCTGGGAAAGTTTACTCCAGGGTGCTCCAGGGCCATAGCCAGCTTGCCACCAGAGTCTGTAGTGGCTCCAGAGGCATCACCATGGAAACCATGCTGCCCAGGGAAAGGTCCTTACTATTTGTGGTTACTGTGATCAGGGAAACCGTCTCCTCATCCGGATTGCTCTATTTTTATAAAACTCACGTAGACTAAACTCCTTTTCATGTCAAACTCCCCAAGGAAAATTTCCCCATTTATGTTAAATAATTAAGGAACATAAATAAACTAGAAACTGTTGTCTCTGTTTAGCTTTCAAAATGAGACGACTATGAAAACTCTTCACTCTGCTATAGTTGATAGGCCATTAGGACCTGAAAAACAAATCTAAAACACTAAGTAGCTTACTGTCTCTGGTTTGAATTATGTACACTTTCCCGGATCCCTGCATAATCGAATGGCATTGAATTGATGCTGTCAGCGGAGATGGAGAGAGCTTTCTGCCTAAGGATAAGAGCAGTCAGATTGGGGGGGGGGGGCGCAGAATCATGGGAGCAACCTGGACAGTAGGTACAAATGTACCGGAGACTTTAATATTAATTTCTATATTTAGAAGAAAAGAACCTTGGGTGCAAGTCCAAAACTTAGTGTTTTTTCTTCTTTGACTTTTCTCTAAGGATGTGACTGCCTTACAGACAGATGGCTGAAGTGATCACTACTGTCATTTGCATATTGCACAAATAATTTATTTTCATTGGTTTGGTTTCTTCTGAAGAAACTTTTATATACGGGTCTATAGCTTTATAAACTTGTTGCCTAAGAACAAAGGCCCAGTGATGGTCCTGGATATCTAATTAGACATCACCTGGGAGAATTTGGGTGATGTTCTCAGCCAAAAATACTGGGAAAAGGCTCCTGAAGACGATGAGGATGCACACATTTTATACTGAAATTGTAATATCAAAACACTCCAGAAGTGGTTCTAGCCCTCTTATATCGAGTGTTTTCTAAAACAACTCTTAAAACATTCCTAAGAGATTGTAGGCTAGTTGTGGACTTTTAACCCTACCTTCCCAACCAAGTTTATAAGAGAAACATCTCGTTGAATCTCCTTGCTTTATGGGTATTTCTTCCTGCCCAAATAATGAAAAGATAATTAAAAAAATTGGTTTCCTGGGCTTTTCCTTATCACTGCCAATGAGTCTCAGAGACTGGTTTCTTTAAGGTATCTATTTGTAGATCCATGGAACCAGTTGGCTGTTGCCTGGGATACTGAGATTTTGAAGATACCACCCTAGCCCCAGTTGGCTAAAATGTGGAGGAATAAGAAAAATACACAAGAATCTAAATAAAAATAGGTTTGCACAAATTGCACAAGAAATACAGGATGATGATATGAAGAATGAAGAGATACTATCTAGCTGGGGCGGAAACACAAGTATTAATGAAAAAAGCAGAGTTCAACAACTTTTTTGAAGAAAAGGAAAACATTTTAATGGGCAGAGTGGACAGTAAATGACCAAAGGGACAGAGTTGGGAAACAGGGGCACAATCTGCAGTTTGGATTAGCTGAAACACACAGTGTTTGAAGTTGAGCAATGAAAAATGAAGGATTTTGTGGAAAGTTTCAAATATAAGAATGCTCTTTCATAGGGAATTGGGAGCCATTGATGTTTTTTTAAAGTAGCATTTTGGGAGTTTTAGTCTTGCAATAGTTTATTTGGATTGGATCAAGGAAACAAATGAGGGAACTGTGAGGTGATTAGGGTACTTGGTAGAAAAAAAAAGTAAAGCAGGGTATTGAAAAAGTAATAATGCAGAAATATGGTAATATTTGGATCTGGCAGGTAAGGGAGAAAGTGAAGGTAGGTAACTCTGAGGTGTGCACAAATACATTGTCCAATATTGTAGCTAGTAGACACTTATAGCTATTCAGCAGGCCCAAGTTGAGATATACATAATGTACATTTATGAACTTCTGAATTTCTAAGAGTGCTACAGTAAAGAATGTAAATATTGCATTATTTTTATATTAATTACATGTTGAAATGCTAATATTTAGTATACATTGAGTTAAAAGAGAAATAAAATGTAATCTGTTTCTTAAAAAATTTTAGTATGCATATTAGAAAATTTAAAATTCATATACGTGTGGTTTGTTATATTTCTATTGGACCATGCATGTTTAGATTCTAAGCACCTGGGACTATAGTGCATTAGAAAAGGAAGACCAGGAAGGAGTAAGGGAGAAAGCTCATTAACTCAGAATTTAACACCTTAGTTCACAGTGAGATATGAAAGTCTCACTTGTCACACTAAGCAATTGGAAATATATATCTGGCTTATAAGAGGCTTGAGTGGAAGGAACAGATAGAAAGTCAAGTGCTCAATCTTCCAGAACTACTGAAATATAAAATCATTATATGATTTTGAGTCTATGAAAAAATCATTTCTTTTTATATACCTCTCATTATGGTTTAGATGTGATGTGTTGTCTCCCAAAAGCTCACATGTGAAACAATGCAAAAAGGTTTGGAGGAGAATTAATTGGGTTATAGTCTTAATGTAATCAATTAAACAATCCCTGATGGGGTTAACTGAGTGGTAATTGGAAGCAGGTAGGTTATGGCTGAAGGAGGTGGGAATTCAGGTGTGGCTTTGGGGATATATTTGTATATCTTGTTAGTGGAGTCTCTCTCTTTGCTTTCTAATCACGATGTGAGCTGCTTCCCTGTGCCACACTCTTCCCCCATGAAGTTCAGCCTCACTGTGAGCCTGGAGAAATAGAGCCAGCCTTCTATGGACTAAGACCTCTGAAACCGTGGGCCCTTAAATAACATTTTCCTCCTTTAAAATTGTTCTGGCCAGGTCTTTTAGTCACAGTCCTGAAATAGCTGACTAAACTACCTCTAAACATTTATTATGGTGTAGGTGGACCTCTCTGACTTTCCATATGGGCCTTTCTCCTTACAAAGTTGTCTCTACTTTCCATTGCCCACAGACGCAAATGACTTTCAAGTTTCTGGAGACTTGGGGTGGAGTGGGGATGAGAGTACTGGGTACAGGATACTGCCACAATTATGATGAAACTGATCACTGTGTTTGGTATTCTGAGCACTCAACAGCCACTGTATTTGTTTTGAAGTATTCAAAAGAGGAAATGAGCTGTCTGTGTTTTCTATGGTTTTATCATCTAATTTGTAAACACAAAACACCACTAGACAGCAAGGTTTCTCCTTTGATTCCCATTTCTAGAATTATGCCCAGCAATTTAGATGCTCCAGACATTTTGAGTTCAATTCTAGTGTCATTTCTTCCATGAAAGTATTTTGGATTCCTCCAGTTAGATGCACCCCATAGCATTCTGCATCCATCTCATTGTCTGCCTGGTATTGGATTATTGGGTACATATCTCTCCTCTTTCCTAGTATGTTTTGGAGTCAGAGGCCACAGTTTTTTCTTCT